CTTCACATACTCTCTCTCTCCATCACACACACACACACACACACACACACACACACACACACACACACACACACACACACACACACACCTGATCCTTTGGTATCTGGTCATCTCATGCGCACACTGCATACAGCGGCAGACAAGCTAAGTCCCTCCTTACAGGACATGCAATGAGGTGCAGATGACAAACAAGTAAGCAATCTGCAGGGTAGCGCTGCTGCAGCAACGTCCCCAGGCACATGTGGGTGGGACATGCTATATTTTTCACCATGCCTTACTTAGTACCAATATGTGATCCTGAACCGTACACCTAGATAAAACAGATTTTCTCTAGACAGGAGCGGCCTTCATCACAGCCCACACTTACAGTCAGAGTAAAGTCATAACAGTCAGGAAGCTCCTGGTGGCGAACGGTCTGCAGGTTAATGGCTTTCAGCTTAAACTGAAGCTCCACTGTCAGGAGTCTAGAAAGCAGAAAATACTCGAGATGAGGGGACGTGAGCCCCTCCAGAGGATACATCAAAAGAGGGCACATACACTGACCAAGTTATGGGCCCCCCAGAAGACCCTGAGATGAGGGGACACACAGAGTGAGCTGTGAGCCCCTCCAGAGGACACTGAGATGAGGGGACACAGAGTGAGCTATGAGACCCTCCAGAGGACACTGAGATGAGGGGACACACACAGGCTGAGCTGTGTCCCCCTCCAGAGGACCCTGAGATGAGGGGACACACAGACTGAGCTGTGTCCCCTTCAGAGGACACTGAGATGAGGGGACACACACAGGCTGAGCTGTGAGCTCCTTCAGAGGACCCTGAGATGAGGAGACACACACAGGCTGAGCTGTGAGCTCCTTCAGAGGACACTGGGATGAGGGGACACACAGAGGCTGAGCTGTGAGCTCCTTCAGAGGACACTGGGATGAGGGGACACACAGAGGCTGAGCTGTGAGCTCCTTCAGAGGACACTGAGATGAGGGGACACACAGGCTGAGCTGCGTGCCCCTCTGCTTTCCTCACCTATGGAAGTCCAGGGTCAGGTTGAGTTTATTTTCTCCAGGTGTTCTGATATCAAAAGGTTCATCAGGCTCTATAAGGAAACATTCTGCCACAGCAAGGAACAAAACCATAAATAAAATGCATTTTCATAGGATGAAGATTAAGACCAATTATCCGTGTTATTACTTTTTAGAATCAAGACTGTGGGAACTAGGTATCAATGCCACTTGGTCTGACACTCCTGGTTTTAAGACATAAGACATTTCTAGAATGGTCAAAGATTTAGACACATTCAAACTCTGTCTCAGAGTGTCATCATTCTCCCAGTCTCTATTTCCTCAATGCTTTATCTGTCAGTAAGTTTTTCTTTTGAATTCATGAGTTGTATACCAAAGATTCACATAGAAGCTGACACAGAAGAACTGTACAGTTCTTCCTACGCCATAAGAGCAGAGGGTTAAGGTTAGTTATCATGGGGCTTAGACAGAAATCAGGGAGTTAAAAAATACAGTTCAAGGTTATAGGAGATCATCACCTGTTTCAATTTCTGGGTCGATGTCAAAGGTGTCATTCCCGGGACAGATGGTTCCTCGCTTGTAAAAGTGTTGACAGATTGCCATAGCCGATTGCTTCGTCCCCTTGTTCTCATAAGCATGGTTGCCAACAGAAATGTTACGAAGCTGCAAGTACTTCATCCAGAAAAGAGAGACAGGAATGGAACACCAACCAGGGCAAAGGGGTGCCAGGCAGGCCAAAGCAAAGCCATGATAACCCTTCCTGGCCATGTCTTGAGAGGGTAGGTTCCCATCTCCCCTGGGGGTGCAGACATTCCAGAAACACACACTGGGACACTGCATCTGAGTGGGTGGCTTTAAGAAATAGCAGCAGAGATCAGAAGGGACAGTAGAGTCCAGAGAAAGCCCCATAGAGGCCTTGAACACTCAGATGCTTTGTACAATCGACCCAGGAATTCTCCAGGTCAATGGCCTTCTGACCACAGGCTCTCTCTGCACTACACTCCTGTTCCTGAATCTCCTGGTTTCTCACGTAGATGCAGCATCTCAGGTCATTCTTTGACTGGTAAAGTAAACCAAAGTTAAGGATTCTTAGTCAAGCACTGCACTACAGAAATAAAGCAATCGTACATTGCTCAATTGTGCTCCTTCCCTGTCACTGGAACACATACAATAAGACACAACATTTTTGTGTCTCTCTGATGCTTCCGTCTCCATGGAGGAATGTCAGCAAACACTATGCTGATGAGGGTTTAGATTGCTTGGACTTGAACAGAATGTGTGTCTCTCAGCTGCATGAGCAGTACTATATGGTAAGAGTCGTGATTTCTGGTGGGTTCTTTAGAAACCCGTGCAGAGGTGCTGGGGACAACTGCATGAGGACTAAGAGAAAAAACCCGGATGCAGGAATTAGCATGCTGAGTTTGACTGTTAGACCAAGCAGTTCCAGCACAGCAGGGATAGAGGGACTATGTGGGCCTTCTGGCCCTCTGTATTCTTCCAACAAGAGCTGAGTATGTAGACATCTTGCTCTTAGCCTTCCACACCTACAGAACTGTGAGGGGACACTGCTCTCACTTATTATCCTCACAGATATTTTCCTATAGCATCAGAAAGAAATGTGGCAGCAAAGGTCAGTGCTCTTCATGGAGAGAACACGCAGATCTAACAAGCAGTGTGGCTTCCATGCCAGGCACAGTATTTTGAAGACTGAATTTAGTTCTAGTGATAAAGGTAAAAATGTTTTATAAAGAATTTACTGGGAGGGGCTGGAGAGACGGCTCAGAGGTTAAGAGCACTGACTGCTCTTCCAGAGGTCCTGAGTTCAATTCCCAGCAACCACATGGTAGCTCACAACCATCCGTTATGAGATCAGGTGCCCTCTTCTGGTGTGCAGATATACATGGAAGCAGAATGTTGTATACATAATAAATAAATAAAATCTTAAAAAAAAAAAACAACTGGGCTCTCACCAAAACTTCTCTAAGATATCCTACTGTTGCCCCGAGTTATGGAAATTCTGGGGCTATGGTTCTTCAGGACCAGTGTAGGAAATGATTTTTAAAAAAAAAGAAAAAGAAAAAGAATTTACTGCGCCTTTAGTTAGGCATAGTGACTGCTTTACAGAGGTGGAGGCAGGAGACTCAAGAGATCAGTGCCAGCCTCTGCTACAAAGAGTGTGAAGTCACCTTGGGTTACCTAAGGTCCTGCCTCAAAACAACAAAATGCAATGGACTATTTACTTCTCGTCTCTACATAACACCTAAGAAACATATAAATTTGGTACCGTGCTTTACAGCTAATTAATGCATTTAAAACTTAAATCTAGGGCGGAATGACGGCTCAGTGTGTAAAGCACTTACCACCAAATCATGAGGACCTAAGTTCAAATCCCCAAACCTATAGAAAACTAGGTCCAGTAGCCTGCATCTGTAATCCCAATTTTCCTATGGTGAGCTGAGAGGCAGAGACAAGAAAATCCCCCAAGAAGTTTGCAAGTCAGCTAGCTTAGCATGTGCAATGATGAATAAAGGACTCAACAAGGTAAAAGCTGAGGACTGACAACCAAGGCTGTCCTCTGACCTTGACACAAATACCATGTTATATCCTGCACACATCATACTCTCTCTGTCTCTCTGTCTCTGTCTCTGTCTCTGTCTCTCTGTCTCTCTCTCTCTCTCTCTCTCTCTCTCTCTCCACACACACACACACACACACACACACACACACACACACGTATGTTTTTAAAAAGTCTCTAAACTTATCTTCACCACTAAGCTATTTGCTATTGTCCCTCTAAAAATCGTCGGGCATGACTGTGTTTACCAACTTTGTTCAGCTTTTGTCTCTAAGTTCCTCTTTCCACTGCCAACCAAGAGCCTTGGCTCCATAAAGATGTACTTCACCCCAGCAGCTCATGGTTGCTGCTTGAATAGGTTGCCTCTAGAAAATGCAGAGTCACGATTGCTGGGGAGCAATGCTTGAAGAAGGGAGTTAAGAATATTGAAATGTAATCTGTAACCACCCTAGGTTAAAAAACGCTGTGGTATTGCATACCTTTAATTCCAGCACTCAGGAGGCAGAGACAGAAGGATCTTGAGACCAGCCAGGTCTATAGAGCAAGTTCCAGGACAGCTAGGGCTGTTATACAGAGAAATCCTGTCTCCAAAAATAAGCAAACAATACACTGACTTCAAAAGCATTTTTAATTAACCCTTCAAAAGAAATGATTTCAAACCTTGAGAAAACACAAATTACAGCAAGAATAACCCAGAATGAAAACTTGACTCTGGAGTATGAAAAACAAGTTTCCTTTTTGTTAGCATCTCAGTGAAATCACCAGGCATGACAAAAAAGCCTTGCTTATACGTGAGCTTGAAAGCCTTGGTTGTTACACAGACTTTGAAATTAAAACCCTCATTATTTGTTATAGGTCTCTGAAAGTACAAGCTTTGAAGAGGTAATGACTACTTATATCCAGGGTTATCTTAGTAATTTCAAATATTGAAGCTCTTGATTGACCCTGCTCCTTTTAATTAAGTCATTGAAATTCAACCTTTCTGATAGTTGGAGATGAAAGCTCTTACCAATTTCTACTTGTATAAAAGTTTGTTAACAATATTTTTCAATCAATTTTAAATATGTATTTTATTTTTAGGTGTGTGTGTGTGTGTGTGTGTGAGAGAGAGAGAGAGAGAGAGAGAGAGAGAGAGAGAGAGAGAGAAAGAGAGCCTGTGCCCTGCATTTAGGGAGGGGTTATCTGCATAAGCCAGAAAGTCAATGGATCCCCTAAAGCTGAAGGTACAGTGTGGGGGCTGGGAAGCAAACACAAGTCCACTGAAGACAACAGGTGCTCTTAACTGCTGAACCATCTCTCCAGCCTTAAACTATATTTAAAGTGTTTATTCCTAGGTCACCTCCAAGCAGAACTGTTCAACACTTGAGTGTGGGTTTCTATGTAATCTGTTGCTACCATTTGTCCAGCCGTTCTTTCTCCCAAATAAAGTGTACACACTGTCTGGGTATCTCATTATTAGAACGCTTGCCTAGCTGTGCAGGGCCCAATTTCAACCCCTAATACCTAAAATGAACAATCGAAATCAACAGCAAATGCACACAATTGATTTACCTGGTTCACTGCAAAGATGATCTGGTCGTACACATCATTCTGAGTGTACACTGCATATGTGTCATCCATTCGATCCATGTATCCTTTTAGGAAAAGGTGTTTGAAGGCTATAGTGTTCTCTTCCTTGAAAGCTACTACCATCTGGTTACTTAGTCCAAACAGGACCAGCTTAAAGGAAAAAGAAACAGCATGAGGATGAAAAATCTGAACAGAAAAGAAATGGAGACACATGGTTCAGGGGCTTGACTGGCAAGAGTTTGCAAGCGATTTGGCGGGATATTTGGAAGCTCACAGCTTGGGGGTGGTTCATGGCTCAGTGGGTGGAAGTACTTTCCTTACTAGTATGAGGACCTGAGTTCGAATCCTCAGATCCAAGGAAAAGCCAGATGTGTTCTAGCAATCCAGCACTACTCTAGGGACAAGGGACATGGAGACAGGAGAATATCTGAAAGCTCACGGGCCAGGTAGCCTGGTGTACACAGTGGAAAACAACAGACCTGGTTGGAAGCCAAGGACTGACACACTTTGTCCTCGGATCTCCACATGCATGGTATGGCAAGTATGCACTGGCATTCATATGCCCAAAAGTGCATACACATACATTGCACACACACACACACACACACACACACACACACACACCACACATACAGACAGAGACAGAGACACACAGAGAGACAGACGGGGGAGGGAGAGCGGGAGAAGGAATGCTCACACTCATTAGATGACAAACTAATAAAGCCCAAGTCATGTGAAAAAGCTAAGGTCCTGGACCTGTTTCCCAAGTTGTTCCAATAAGACCCAAAATGAAAGCCATACTCTCTAAATTAGAGTATGCTAAAATAACACTCGCTAATATTTAGGCACATCCTAGAGCCTTCATCCAGTAGCTGATGGACCTTCATGGGTTCAAAGCCAGACTGGAGTTCCAGTCTGCTCATAATGCCCTGTAATTCTAGACCCAGGAGAACTGGCACCCTATTGTGGCTCCTGGAGACACTGTCACACATATGGCAAATACACACTCACACACCCGCGCGCACACACACACACACACACACACACACACACACACACACACACACACACACACACC